TACTAACTACTAACTACTAACTACTAACTACTAACTACTAACTACTACTAACTACTACTAACTACTACTGCTACTACTACTACTACTACTACTACTACTCCAGTTGATTGCAATTTGGGTCCAGGATCCACTTCATGTTGACCTCCTATGCGCCGGTGATCAGTGCCGAGAAGGCCTACCATGAGCAGCTCTCAGTGGCGGAGATCACCATGTCCGTCTTCGAGCCGGCCTCGATGATGGTGAAGTGCGACCCTCGCCATGGGACACTTGGATTTACGTGGAATACATGGCCTTCGAGAGTAGAGTAGAGAAAAGCGGCACTTGAGTTTTCACACTTACCTTCGGGTAGAGGGACAACGCTAAGAAGAGTCGCCCAAAGCATGGAGAGGTATGATTCGACGTGACATGTTTTGGTTCTGACATGGTGAGTGTGTATGTTTGTTTCGCACATGCCAGAATGTCTTGTGCCACTCACGGCAGATTGAAAGACACATGCTTGTTTTCGTTTTATCTATGTAGTAAGTCAAGGTTCCTGATCAACAGCCGAGGAAGTACATGGCCTGCTGCATGATGTACCGAGGAGACTTGGCCACACTTACTCCAACAAGCCGACTGTATATTTGTGGTGGAAAGATGTCTATGTAAACAAATTTTCATATCGGAACACACATAAGGCTGAGAAGGGTGCTTTCACTTATCAAGCAAATTGTTGCGACCGGAAGAGGAGTTACTGTAGTCCATCAAAGGTTCAGTCGGTACAGTAGGTTCAGAATAGATTGCAGTTACTCACTTGGGCACTTTTGGATACAGGGTACATACAGGTGATCAAGGATTATGAGGGGATCTGGCAGATGAATCAGGCGACGTGGTGCCAAAGGACGTCAATGCGGCTGTGGCTACGATCAAGACCAAGCGCACCATCCAGTTCGTTGACTGGTGCCTCAGCGAGGACCGGAAGTGAGAAGACCTTGCTAATAAGTCATGGGGTTTTGGTCATCACCAATAGTAATATATTTGTCACCAAGAATGCAATGAGAAGGTAGTAACAGTGAATAAGTACGTATATAATGACCTCCAATACCGAATGGTTTTGAGATTCTGAACGTCAACGCTTGGGTATAAACCCAGGTGGTGACTTGCATGTGGGTTTGCCAAAACACGCATGTGTTGATTTGAGCCAATATTATTTCCGGCACGTGGTTTGTTTGTTTTTTCAAGTTTTCTGGTACCGCATGAATATTTCATTATATTTTGATGTTTGAGCTTGTTTTGCCTGAGATATATCCGTGATATCGGCCCAGGTGCCCCACGGGCTTCAAGTGCGGCATCAACTACCAGCCACCCACTGTGGTGCC